GTGGTCGGCAAACTGCGGCTCTCGAGCCACATGCGGCTCTTTGGCCCCTTGAGTGTGGCTCTTCCTAAGCCTTAGGAGTACCCTAATTAAGTTAATAACAATGTACCTACCTATATAGTTTAAGTTTAAAAAATTTGGCTCTCAAAAGAAATTTCAATCGTACTGTTGATATTTGGCTCTGTTGACTAATGAGTTTGCCGACCACTGACCTAGCCAATGTGGCTCAGTGGTTGAATGTCGACCTATGAACCAGGAGGTCATGGTTGATTCCAGGTCAGGGCACATGCCCTGCTTGTGGGCTCCATCCCCAGTAGGGGGCGTGCAGGAGGCAGCCAATCAGTGATTCTCTTCATTGATGTTTCTATCTTTCTCTCCCTCTCCCTTCCTCTCTGAAATCAATAAAAACATATATATATTTTTAAAAAGCTGTTATACAGTTACACAATGGAATACTATGTGGCTATATAGAATAAGGAACTCTTACATTTTGTGGCAGCATGAATGAACCTGGAGATTATTATGCTAAGTTAAATAAACCAGTCAGAGAAAGATAAATGCCATATGATCTCATTTACATGTGGAATCTAATGAACAAAATAAACCAAGAACAAAATAGAAACAGAGGCATGGTTACATGGAACAGACTGACAACTGTCAGAGGTGAATAGGGTTGAGGGATTGGATGAAAGAAAGTGAAGGGGTTAACCATAGACACAGACAACAGTGTGGTGATAGCCAGAGGCTAGGTGGAGGTGGGCAAAGTTGGGGGGAATTGGGAGGGAAAGAGACTTTGCTTGCGGCAATAGGCACACGATGCAATGTGCAAATGATGTTTTATTGAATTGTACACTTGGGACCTGTATGGTTTTGCGAACCCCAATATATTAAATTATTAAATTTAAAAAAAAACTTATGTGGCATTATAATAAGGACTTATCTATTTCTTCAATCTTTTCAAAGAACCAACTTTACCACCAAGAACAAAATAGAAACAGAGGCATGGTTACATGGAACAGACTGACAACTGTCAGAGGTGAATAGGGTTGAGGGATTGGATGAAAGAAAGTGAAGGGGTTAACCATAGACACAGACAACAGTGTGGTGATAGCCAGAGGCTAGGTGGAGGTGGGCAAAGTTGGGGGGAATTGGGAGGGAAAGAGACTTTGCTTGCGGCAATAGGCACACGATGCAATGTGCAAATGATGTTTTATTGAATTGTACACTTGGGACCTGTATGGTTTTGCGAACCCCAATATATTAAATTAAAAAAAAACAAACTTATGTGGCGTTATAATAAGGACTTAACTATTTCTTCAATCTTTTCAAAGAACCAACTTTACCACTCCATTGCTAATAGGATCTGGTGGGACTTTTAAAGGTCCTTATGAAGTCTCTTTTATGCAGATGTTACTTGCGCATTTTTATTATTCCTCTGCTAGACTATGAGCTTCTCCTTGCATCTAGGCCCTTAGTTTTATCAAACTTTATAAGTTCCTCAATGCCTGTAGTATTTTATATCTGTGGTTTATTTTAAATACTATCTGTCAAATCAACAACCACTGTTCATCTTAAATAACCACAATGTCTACCCTCATGAAACAATGCCACAAAGCTTCCTTCCCCAAACAACCTACCCATGGCGGAAGGCTGGCTGGTTTTTGGTGACACCCATTTTGGGGAGGACTCAGGATGGGGGGCCACAGGTTGCACTGGACGAGTCTGTCTGGCTGCCAGTTTCATCAGACTCACTTGCCTCTTGTGAAAAATTTCCTGTACGTCTCCCAGCTTCTGTAGGACTTTCTGGGTGTTGGCCTGCAGGAACAAAAGCAAATCATGAGATTGCTCTGCACTGAGCCTGAGGACATGACTCATTTCCTTTCACCCATCTCCCCCTTTCCCCACGCCCAACCTCCCTCATAGGCAAGTCATCCATGTCTCACCTTGCACCAGAATGTGCTTCTAGGAGTCTGAATCTCCCATGGATTGGCAACGACTGTGTTTCACTACTGCATCTCCAGAGCAGAGTAGTACTCGCTAAATATATGGTGAGTGGATAAATGTTCACTCAGCCCTGTCCATTAATGTAGAAAAGGGTGCCATAGGCCATGGATGAAGGGCATTAGGACAACTTACAGAACAGGGGAATTTAAAAATAAAGAATATACCCTGAATAAAGTCCTTGATGGATGAAAGAGTTTAAGTGTTCTGGGGGAAAGAATTGGGTAAGTTCTGAAACAGGATCAAGAAAACCACAAGCATCTGTAATTAAAAAACACACACAACAGCCCAGCTGTTATGGCTCAGTGGTTGAGCATCAACCTATGAATCAGGAAGTCACAGCTCGATTCCCAGTCGGGGCACATGCCCGGGTTGTGCACTACATCCCCAGTAGGGGAAGTGCAGGAGGTAGCCGATCGATGTTTCTCTCTCATCATTGATGTTTCTATTGCTCTCCCTCTCTCTTCCTCTCTGAAATCAATAAAGAATCCTATATAATAAAAGGCTAATATGCAAATTGACCAAACGGCAGAACAACCAGTTGCTATGACGCACACTGACCACCAGGGGGAAGATTCTCAAGGCAGGAGCTGCCCCCTGGTGGTCAGTGTGCTACCATAGGGGGAGTGTCACTCAGCCAGAAGCCCTGAGCCTGGCTCACAACTGGCGAGCACAGTGGCAGTGGTGGGAGCCTCTCCCACCTCTGTGGCAGCACTAAGGATGTACGACTGCCAGCTTAGGCCCCAGTCGGACATCCCTCAAGGGCTCCTGGACTGCGGCGAGAGGGCGGCCGGGCTGAGGAACCCCCCACCCCCCGCAAAGTGCATGAATTTCGTGCACTGGGCCTCTAGTATATATATTTTAAAAACCCACACAACACATTTAAGTGTTATTCAGTGTGACTCCTTCTCTCTATATAAGTAGGAAAAAAAGAAACTGAAGAAATACCAGGGGAGAGATGAAACTCACAGACATTTCCAAAACTGACTACATGCTCTAAAGCAGGGACTCAGGAAATAAGAAACAAGACCCAAATGTCTTTGAGTTTCACCAAGGCCTGAATTCAGCTGAATGTTTCTTTTGGCCTCACTTGAAGCATGACATCCCTCTAGCTCTGGTGGATCAAGGAAAGTGGGTACCTTTTCTTTGTCCTGCTGACTCTGACATCTGTCTCGTGGATGATTTTAACCATCAAAAAAGGGACCCAGAATTAGAAGAGTTATGCAGGGTGCTTTGAGGATGCCTAATTCTGAAAGTACAAGCTCAGCACACACACACGGAGGTTGCCACATTTTGCAACTATACAAGTAAATTTGTCTTTTTTTTATGCTGGGCCATCTTCTGAGGGAAGGAGCCAGTATCTTGGAGGCAGGACAGGAGTGTCAGTTATAGAAAAACTGTTCCGCCCTGTCAACGCTGACCTCTGCATCAAGAGCTGGGGCTCATCTCACTCTTTGGTGGGCCCGAGTGCAGACCTGCACTGTCTATCTAGTAACCACTAGCCTATGAGGCTCTTCAGCACCTGAAATGTGTCTGGTGTGAACTGAGCTGTGGGAAATACACACTGGATTTTGAAGACTTCTTATGCAAAAAGAATATAAAATATCTCACTCATTTTTTTTTATCAATTGTATGTTGAAAGGATGTTTCAGATATAGGTTAAATAAAACATTATTAAATTTGATTTCACTTGTTTCTTTTCACTTCTTAAAATGTGACTACTAGAAAATCTCATTAGCTCACATATGTGACTTGCACTATATTTCTTTTTTTAAATATTTTTTTATTGATTTTTAGAGACAGAGGAAGGGAGAGAAATAGAAACTTTGATGAGAAAGAAACATCATTGATTGGCTGCTTCCTGAACGCCCCCTACTGGGGATCGAGCCCAGAACCTGGCATGTGCCCTAATGGGGAATTGAACCTCTTGGTTCCTGGGCTGATGCTCAACCACTGAGCTACACCAGCCAGGCTGCACTATATATCTATTGGACAGGTTGGTTAGACTAGGGTTTGGCAAACTTTTCGGTAAAGGTCCAAACAGTAAAACTCTTCAGGCTTTGCAGGCCATCTGGTCCCTGAGGTAACTCCTGTACTTGGCTGTTGCTGCATAAAAGCAGTCATAGAACATAGAGAATACAGAAACGAATGAGTGTGGCTGTGTTCTGATCGAACTTGACATACAAAAGTAGATGGCAAGCCCCTCTGGCCCACAGGCTATACTTTGCTGACCCCTGGACTTGATTAAGCTCAGGGTCTGTGATTAAATAGTCTCTTCAGAGAATGTGCCCCTGGCCTCAGGAAGCACGGCTGAACAACGCACCGGAGGTTCTGAGAACACAGCTATGAGTCCAAGTCCCAAAAGAAGCCAAATTCCCTTACGTCAGGGTGATGGCAATGTCAGTTTGATGGTGAGCAGCCACTACTACCTGCCCTGGTGGCCCAGTGATGAGTTTGAGGAAACCGAGACTTGGGTGTTAACTGCTGCAGAAAGAGAACATCTGACTGGATGGATGGCTGTCAAATTGATGATGTGCGCTGTGCATCCCTGGTGTGAGGTCAGTGCCACGTGCTAGACCCCAACGACTCACCGTTGGACCGGACAGGACTCGAATCATCTTTGCTCTTTTGGATCTATCCCTTAAGACCCCAGAGTGAACCCTGCAAATGGTTCACTGAATTAAACTGAGGCATTCAGAAGAGACCCTAAATTCCTAAGCTCAAACCAGGGGGAGGTTGGTACAAGATTAACAACTGCATTCCCCCTTTTCTCCTATTTTTACTTGCAAGTCCACTCTCCATACCACAATCTGAATTATCTTTTTCCTTTTTTTTTCAGAATTATCTTTCTGAAAGCTAAATCTGATCATGTAATTCACCTGTTCAAAAGCCCTGCAATGACACCTCATGCCTCATCCTGCAGCACCAGGCTCTTCATACTTGATCCTGACCACTGCCTCCCTTGTGTTACCTTTGTCCCTCCATTTTATATGCTCTTGGACCTAGGAGCATTGCTGGGGAAATGTTTGTCTTCCACTCCACTGTCAGCACCGTGACTGCGGGCTCTGTACTGGACTGTATTCTCAGAATAAAGCACAAACTGGGCACCCAAGAAACATTTGAAGAACTGAATTTTGCAATTTTCTACTGAGATTATGTCATTCTTTACACGGGGCGCTGAGAGCGAATGAGGGAGAAAAATCAAAACAGCGGCACTAAGGGGGCAGCTCAATCGCCATGTACTAGGGAAATGCCTCGAGGAGCCTCAGACAGAGACAGGTGGCTGCTACAAGAACAACAGTGTAATGGCTGATGTTGTGTTGATAATCGTTATGTCTGAAATGTAACGGATTCAACCTTTTAGACTTAGAGTACCAGCTTTTTAGAAACAAATTTTATTTTTTAGAATAGTTTCAGATTTACAGAAAAATTGCAAAATAGTATAAAGAGTTCCCATATACTCCACGGTCACTTTCCACTATTATTAACAGCTTACATTACTATGGTACATTTGTTATAATTAATCAATCAATACTGATACATTATTCTGATTTTTTAAAAAATTATTAAATAAAGTACATACTTTATTAAATAAAGTACAAAATTATTAAATAAGGTACATTACTATTAAATAAAGTACATACTTTATTTAGGTTTCCTTACTGTTTACCTAATGTGCCTTTTTCTCCCCCAGGGTCCCATCAAGATACCATATTACATTTAGTTGTCATGACTTCCGCTCCTCTTGGCTGTGACCAGTTCTCAGCCTTTCCTGGTTTTTGATGACCTTGACGCTTTGAGGAGTATTGGTCAGGTATTTTGTAGACTGTCCCTCGGTTGATATTTCTCTGATGTTTTTCTCATGATTAAACTGAAGTTATGTTTTTTTGGGGGGAGAAGACCATAGACGTGCCATTTTTATCACATCACATCATACCATGTGCATGACTTAATACTGTTGATGTTGACCTTGATCACCTGGCTGGGGTAGTATATTAGTTTTCTCCGCTGTGAAGTCATTCTTCCATCTCTCCCTTCCCATACTGTACCCTTTGGAAGAAAGTCACTATGTGTAGCCCCCACTTAAGGAGGGGAAGTCTTGCTCCACCTCCACGAGGGCTAAGTATCTACATAAATAATGTGGAATTCTTCTGCATGTGAGATTAGTTTCCTCTCCCCTCTCTATTTATGTATGTATTCCACCACTTATTTATATCAGCATGGAGTCATGGAGATCTATTTTATGCTTTGGGTTGTAATCCAATACTACTCTATTAATTCTGTTGCTCAGATGGTTCCAGCTTTGGCCATGGGGAGCTCTTTCGATTGCCTCCTATGTCCCATCACTGTGGTTTGTTTTGCTTTTTAGCAATTCCTGACTTTTTGACATTCTACCTGGTAAGATGTTCCCAAGATCACCTTGTATATTTCCTGCCCCAGTCCTAGAATCAGTCATATCTCCAAGGAGCCTGGGTCTCTTTTCTTGGAGAATAGTATTAGAAACCAAGCTCTGGGTGCTCGGTGTGCTCATTGATATTGGTGTCTCATTGTTCCTAGGCCCTCTCTGCTACCCGAGTAAAGAGAACCATGTGTCTACACCAACCTGTGTATATACATGTATCTTGGAATATTTTTATATGTGTAAAGTACCAGTTTTGACAACAAAGTCATTACCCCTCAGTGGATAAAACATTCTCTGACACATAGTATATTTAATCTTATAACCTAGAATTTTACTTCAAACTAAAAGAATAGATAGGCTTTGGGGATATTTTGGTTGTTTCATTCTTCTTAAAAATTATATATTTTTATTGATTTCAGAGAGGAAGGGAGAGGGAGAGAGAGATAGAAACATCAATGATGAGAAAAAAATCATTGATTGGCTGCCTCCTGCAGATCCCCCACTGAGGATCCAGCATGCGACCCAGGCATATGCCCTTGACCAGAATCGAACCCAGGACCCTTCAGTCCGCAGGCCAATTCTCTATCCACTAGCCAAACTGGCTACAGCTGTTTTATTTTATTTTTTTTATAAAAAATTTATTTTAGAGAGAGAGGAATGGAGAGGGAGAGAGAGAAAAACATTGATCAGTTGCCTCCCAAATGCACCCTGACCAGGGATAGAACCCACAATCTGGGTATGCGTCCTAACTGGGAATCGAACCTGTGACCTTTCAGTGTAGTGGTATATATTTCTCCACCAGTGTCTAGTATTCCTTTGCCCAAGGCCACAGCCTTTACTAGCTGCCTCTCTTACAGTCACAGCTGCATCACTTCCAAGGACCCCTTTGCCTTTTAGGATTAGGAGTGGTAACTGCTCCCTGTTTCTTGCTAGCCCCAAGAGGCTTCACCATCCCTGTTGAATTGTCTGCATTTTTGTAAAAACTGCCTATATCAAACTCCCTAAAAGTAGGTGAATCAGATTCTCAAAAGGGTCCATGACTTAAAAGAGGTGATGAAGCCTTTCGAGCAGAGGTACGTGCAAAATGATGTGGGTATCCGAGGAAGGCGTGCTATTCATAACTCGCTGGCTTCACAGAAGAGTGCTCCTCTCAAATGCAAATCAGATCAAGTTATTCCCCTGCTTAAATTCTGTAGTGGCTTCCCGCTGCTCTTAGAAGAAAGGCCAAACTCCTTAAAACGGCCCACAGAGCCCCACCTCGTCTTTCCCTCTCTAATCTTACCCCAAACATTCTTTGTCTGCTCTCTGTACTCCAGCCACCCTGACCCTTGAGTTCTGCAGTTGCGCCAGGCTCCCTCCAGCCCTGCAGCCTCTGCACATGCTATTCCTTCAGACTGAAAAGGACCCCCATCTTCTCTACTCATTCTCTAGGACTTGCTCCAAGTGACCCCCAGGCCAGGTCAAGTTCCGCTGTCACATACCCAATAGGACCCTGAATCCCAACTCCAGAGCACTCATTTCAGCTTGGAACACATTTTTGTGTTTTGTGTTTGACATTTATTAATGTCAGCCTCTCCCACTACACTGTAAATTCCATGCGGGATGGAACCGTGTCTATTTCTGTTTACTGTTGGTTCTTGGCACAGTGCACGATACATGAGAGATGCTCGTGAAGATTTGTAGAGAAATGAATGACTGAGTCAGACTGTGAAAGGTCAGTCTGCCAAGAAGCAGTTTGCCAGGAGTCTAAGAGGCCCCCTGAGGGCTCAAGGACTGGTTAGCCTGCTCAGTATATCCTGCCTGGACTTTCTTCAGCAACAGGCAAAGGCCCCCAATGCCTCCTTCCCAACCACAGGATGAAAATAACCCACTAACATTACCTTTACATCAGGGGTGAGAATCAACTCAAACTGGTTGTAAATCTCCTTGGGGCTGGGCAGCTGCTGCTCCGTCGCTGTGTCCAGGAATGCCTCGATGTCGGTCAAGGCAACGTCAACACCCTCTCGAGACTGGCACTTGTCTACAGCTTGGGAAGCCAAGAGGTAGATTCCCGCCTCACACCACCGGCTGACCTTTTGAAAAGAAACACAGTGCCCTGTGCAGTTAGCCTGACCACAGCTCAGCCACCTCAGTCCCTTGGGAGGTCTGCGCTCCTCTGGCTCTACCAGGATTCCGAGACACTGGGAACTTGTCCTGGGACAGCATGAAGTCGAGAGGTCTAACCCCTGTAAATACAACTGTGAGGTGGACAAACCCAAACCAATTTTACATCTGTCCACTTCTCAGGGAAGTCACCCAACCAGTAAAATGCATCGTGTAAACATTCTGCCCTTTTCTACTGACAGCAATTACTATCCCTCCAGGAGGAGAAAGGCAAGGACTTCTAAGTTTGGTCTCACTATAGAGAAATGTAACCAATGACTTCTCGGGTTGACCTTCTAGGCCACTTGTCTTACCTCCTAACTGGTTACAAGAGCACAGGGTAACTAATGAGGCACCAGACCTGGCCCCTACATGCTTTGCTTGCAGGAGGGACTGTCTTTTTAACAAAAACACTTTCCTCTGTCCGCATTTGCACGTATTGTCATTTGTCTTTCCCAGGGAAGCATCCAAGAATGAAAAGTTCTGTAACTCGAGAACAGCAGTACTCACACTTTCCAGAATGCTGGGATGAAACCAGGTAGGTGATAAATTCTAACAGTTCAACTTTTTACAGATGTACACAGAAAGACAAGGGCCCTGGTGATGCCTGAATATTTACATGAGCTGCCAGAGCAAGTACACCTGCATTTCCATTCCAGGTGACCTGAAGGGCTACGTCAAGTAACTATACAAGGGAAAAGCACTCCAAAGGAGTTATCACTAAGTGGGAAATTACAGGCAACTTAAATCTGTCTTTTATTTTCCCCCTATTTATCTACATTGAATGTGTGCTACTTTTAGAATAACAACAACAAAACAAAAACCACACAGACCAATAAAGGTATTTAAAGGTTAATAATTATCACTTATTATTATTAAGTGATAAGGGAAGTAGGATGTGTAGGCATCCACCAGTAACTTCTTCCCTCCTCTTTCCTACATTTTTGGATTTTCAAAGTAGTAGGAAATCACGCTTTAATATATACTGTGAAAACTTTGTCTTGAAACATCATGCCTAGATCTGCAGAAAACATTAGGCTGGGGTCTTCCGCAGTCACAGCAACTACTTGCTTTCCCAGACACACACACACACACACACACACACACACACACACACACACACACACACTCAGCTCAGCATTAGGCTGTTATCTCTGGAGCAGATATGGACTGAGGGAAACAGTAGTTGATCCTGCAGAGAGCTCAGCCCACAGAGCAGGCTGCGCACCAGGTCCTTCTGAGCCACTTGCTTCTGGAACAGCTGGACTTCACTGACATTAAAATCTCTTTAGCAATGAGATGATGTAAACAGCCTGGGCGGGTGCCCCACCCAACGCAGAGAAAGAGCTATAGGAATGGAGCTCCCCCACTCCTGGCCATAAGCCACGTGCTGCCTGGGAACAGCTGACAGGGAAGGCTCCAAAAGTCACTGCCCCTGCTGACTGGGCACTTGTCCAAGAGATCACTGCCAAAGGGCACCAGAGGCTGCACTCCCTCCCTGTGAGCCCTCTGCTCACACAGCATTGCTGTCTAGTCTCTGGAGCCTGGGGTTTGAATTTGGCAGTCCTGACTTCAAATCTGCAATCCCCTCTCTCCTCCATGTGCGGTCTCAGGCCGTCACTTATCCCAGGGTTTCTCAGTGTGTCCCTGTACCACCTGCACCACAATCACCTGGGCCCTTGCTGAAAACACGGATTCTACGGCATCGCCCAGACTTACTGAACCTCAGTCTCCGGGGTGGCAAACCAGGGAATCTGCAATACAGCAAACTCACCTGGCAATTCTCATGCACTAAGTGTTGCAACTCTTGGACTTAACCACATTCAATATCAGTTTCTGTCTCTGAAAATTGAGGCCATTAATACCTTCCTCATAACTTGTCTTTCCTGTAACCACAGCTCACTGTCTGCTCTGACCTCGTCTGTTCAGCAACCACATCTCCCTCTCTCTGCATGGCTTGCTTTGTTCTAACCACATGTGCCATATTTTCCTGTTTTCAATGCTCACATGTTATCTATTTAATCTGAGGATTAAATAGATGACATAATTATGCTCCCACTGGGAACATAGTAGGTCCTCTATAAATGGTAGGAGTGTATAAATGGTCAGTGCTCACATGTTATCTAGGTCCTCTATAAATGGTAGGAGTGTATAAATGGTCATTATAACTTAAGCTTTTCCCAAAGGATTCACAATCCGATGTCTTCAGATGAGAAGAAGCACTCTGCAAATATAGGGCTTGGTCTCTGTATGCTTGAGGGGGAATCAAAAAAATGTCCCACAGGGCCAAGCCAGAACACACTTTTTTTTTTTAATCCTCACTTGAGGATATTTTTCCATTGATTTTTAGAGAGAGTGGAAGAGAGAGGTAAAAACAGAGAGAAACATTGATGTGAGAGAAATATCCATTGGTTGCCTTCTGCATGTGCCCCAACCAGGGCCCGGGGTGGGGAGGAGCCTGCAACCGAGATACATGCCCTTGACCGAGGTACATGCCCTTGACTGGAATAGAACCTGGGACCCTTTGGTCCACAGGTCGACACTCTATCCACTGAGCCAAACCGGCTTAGGGCCAGAGCACACTCTTTAATTCTGGGTCCACACCCAGGAAAACAGACTCAATTCATTCTAATGGGTGGGTTGACTGAGGCACTTTTGACCTTCAATACCCCTGTGACCTAGAACCTGCAGCTTGTAATGCCTCTTGAGCTCTGTTCCCCATGAAGTTCTTTATCTTCTCAGCAACCATGTGGGGCAGGGAGGTCAAGTCTGACTAAGACTGCTTTACAGAAAATTTTGCAGACATCACGGTCACAGCTTTGTTTTGCTCACCTTGTCCAGCTGTCTATGTAATTCCAAAGACTTTTCTAAAATGTCATGTTTTTTCTTGTTTTCATTGAAGAAGTCATCGCAGAGGTGCCTGAGCTCCACACACTTGGGCCTGATGGAGTCCGCTGCGTAGTGGTGGCTTTGGATGAGCTGGTCCCCGATTGTTGCAAGCAGCTGGGCCTTTTCCAAGGACTCCTGCAAAGTGAACATGCACAGCAAAGCATCACAGCCAAGTCATGGTGAAGCTGGTATTTGCTTGACACTGTGTGCTCCAATCCTAGAGGGAGGCTAAGGAGATGCTGGCTCGGGGTTTAGGCTGAAAGTCTGGGGCTGGGGAATCTGGGCAGGCTCTTCCTTTCCCAAGAAGTCTGGCCTAATCCAGGGCCACTGTCACTCTGAAGAAAAACTAGTCATTTCACTCAAGTATTTGTTGAGTTCTGGGATGGGCACTGAGGACATAGTGTTAACAAGCCAGAAACTTTCAGCCTAATGGAGAACTCACATATTAAATAAATTACACAAATAATTAAATGATTACAATGTGATAACTTCTAGGGCAGAGGTGTTATACTGCACAGAATAGGAGACTCTGAATCCCACTAAATGGAAAAGAAAAAAGGACAGGCCTGTGGCCCTGAGGAGAGCTGGGAGTGAGCTGAAGTTAAGAAAAGGTAAAGATCTGGTTTGGACAACTCTATGGGGGAGTCATGCGACTTAAGAAATATGTTCCTATAAACCCTTTCCTGGAACCACAGCTCACTGTCTGCTCTGACCTCGTCTGTTCAGCAACCACATCTCCCTCTCTCTGCATGGCTTGCTTTGTTCTAACCACATGTGCCATATTTTCCTGTTTTCAATCCTCACATGTTATTGAGGCTTACCATGTGCCAAGCATCATCCAGGTACTGAGGGTTCAGTGGGAAACAAAGCGGGAAAAACCCCTGCCCTTATGAAGCTTACATGCTAATAGGAGACACAAGCAATAAACAAATATCTTAGATAGTGATGAGCGCCATGAAGAAAAATCAAACAGGGAGGGGAGGACAAGGAGTGTGGGTGGAGCAGTTGCTATTTTAAGTAGGATGGTGGGCGAAGGGCCCCCTGAGCAGGTGCTCTCTAGGAAAGAATACTATCCTAGGAAAGGCCTGCTTGCAAGGTTGGCCTTGGGTGGCATCTAGGAACATCAGGAGGGGTCCTATCGTCCCCATGGAGAATGGCTCACCATACCTAAACTGGACGAACAATATGCTTTACGCTGGACCCCTGCTGTCTTTCTGGAAGTCTGGATTCTGGTATATGCCAGGCAGAGGCTGCCTATGTGACCAGCTACCAATAAAAACTCTGAGCACTGAGCTTCCCTGGTTGACAACACTTTACAGTGTGATCCCAATGCACCGCAGGGAGCGTTAAGTGCATCCCATGGGACACCACAGGAAGAAGACTCTTGGAAGCTTGCACCTGATAGCCTCCAGAGTTCACCCCCTGCACCTTTCCTTTGCTGCTTTTGCTTGGTATCCTTTCACTGTAATAAATTACAACCATGAGTATGCTGAATGCCATGAGTCCTCCTAGCAACTCTTCAAATCTGGGTGTGGTCCTGGGAACCCTTGACACAGGAGCCAAGACCTGAAGTGAGGGACAAGCCATGCAGTACTTGGCCTAGAGGTTGAGCATGTTTGACGTGTTCCGGTAGCAGGAGGAGGCCACTGTGGCTGGAACAGAGGAGTGAGCAGGAAAGGCGTAGGAGGTGCAATAGTGAGGAAAGAGAGGGACTGGATTGGGGAGGGCCTTGCTGCCACTGTCAGCACTTTGGCTTTTACTCATTGTGACATGGAAGCACTGGAGTTTCGAGGAGAGGGTCTCAAAGCAGGGACCCCAGTGAGGGGCTACTGTAGTCATCAAGGTAAAGGATGTGGCTTCAACAAGGCTGGCAGCCAAACCAGCTCCTTCCTCAGTGCCATCCCCAGGATCTCCTCCCAGGGTCACTCCCGTCTAAGCTCTCAGTTTACCTCCTGGCCGGCCTTTCTCTAGCTGCTGTTTCTAAAGCCACTCCCTGCAACCCACCCACCCAGGCCCCCTCCCTCACTTTGTTTTCATTTTCTAACTACACTTTCCTCCATCTGAACATATCTCTGTTTACTTCAATGTACAATTTCTCCCTCCTTTACTCACTCCCACCAATATGTAAGCTCCATAAATATTTGATCAATATAATAATGCATGAATGAATTAATGAATGGGCCAATGCACTAGATGATGCAGTCATCTGCTTGGCTGGATTTGTGTGAAACAACACAGACCTGTGAGTCACCGCAGATGACTGCCACATTCCCAGAGGTCTCAGGGAGCAGAGAGATCATATGCACCCTTGCTGACACAGTGAGCATCCAGTATACCTTTTGCCCTGGCTTAACTTTTTACAGTAACACAAGGAGTTTTGATGACTCCCAGCGATGACAACTGGCCTCTCTCTTAACTTACAATGGTTCATAGTTTTAACAATCTCAAAATCCCTCAACCCTACCTAGCCAGTCATTCACCAAGCCTTACAGAGCCCACATCCTTCTTAATAACTTTTGAATTCTGAGACCTTCTCGACCAACTCCTTGTCACTGTCTGTTCAGGCCTTCATGCTTTCTGCCTAGACAGCTGGCTTCTTTGTTCTCCTTCAAACCATGCTCCACACTGCTGATGAAGCAGCAATTCCAATTTTATCATGTCTACATCCCTCCCAAGCTTCAAGTCCTTTCTTGCTCCCTATGGAGGACTTCAGGAGAAAATTCAAACTCCTGAGCAATGCATACAAAGCCTTTCATTATCAGGCTCAAACCTGTGTCTCCTCATCCTCCACTTCCCTCACCTGTTGCCCCACTAACGGCCCATTTGTAGTTCCCCAAATATTCAGGCAGCTCAGACCTCCATGCCTTCTCTCCATGCTCCTCTGCCTAGAAAGCCTCGTCCTTCCCTCATCACCCCTGCCCCCACTCCTCTGCCTCTCCCCTCCCACGGCACCCACACTCCTCTGGAGCTAAATCTAAAATACCCTTTAGAGTTCATCTTCTCCAGGATATGTTCTCTAACTCCACCATTTTATTCTGATGCCCCTCCTCGGTGCCGTTCTTGATCTGAGCACACACTTCACTGTTTTATGATCACTTATCTATTGCCCACCATGCCACAGACCCTGGCAGGCACATACCAGCTGTTATTCAACTTAAAACAGTACAAAGCACAAATTAGGTACTTACTAGTAAATATAAATAATTGTTGTGCAAAACACAAAGGAGCCATGGCATACAAATCAAGCAGTGGCTATTTAAAAGAACTCGGGGTAAACACCCAGTGCGATAGTTCTGAACAACAAAGGCCCGGATGCACTGGTTGCCATTCCTGAGGGGAGGTTGGAATGGAGATTCCTCAGGCAGGATTTTGAATTGTGTTGCTGACTGCTGTGCCCTCAGAACTTAGAACAGTGCTTAGCATGGCAGGATATCAGTAAACACTTGCAGAACAAATGAAGAATTGTGGGGAAGCATGGGATTTGGTTGGAAAGTTTGTAAGAAGGAAAATTCCGAAAAAAGGAGTGGGCTGAAGGCGGCCCGCCCTGTTTATCGGAATTCTGACTTAGGGGAGTTTGGCCGAAGGTAGCACCCCTAATTGTTCCTTGACCTTTCCAAACAAGTATGTGCGTGTGCAGACCCTTGGGTGTTTACCGGAATCTTTATCCTTAATCTTTAGGTGTCCTTGCTTAAAGGACACTGCAAACATATGCGCCCCGCCCCCCCCCCAAGATTACTTACCCTACTGATTGTATCTAAAAGATAAACTTTATTTCAAACTGCTGTTACAATAAAAGCCTGAAGAGGCAGGCAATCGAGGCTGTCTGGTTCCTTTAGACAGGCAGTCCCTTAGCCCTCTCTTTCACAGCAATCCTGTGTCAGAGTAATCATTCATCCGTCACTCGGCGTCTGCTGGTCAGCCCCAGCAAAGAATGAATGAGACACTCTTACTGGAACTGCTCAGCCACTGCACGATGAACCTGGGAGACATCCTGTTGCACAGGATGGACTCCACCACTTCTGTGATGTCAATGACAACAGCTAACATTCAATGAGGCCTAACTACCTGCCAGGCCCTAATCTGAATGCTTAAACTATTTCTTTCACTCGTCACAACAAACCCTTTAATATGGGTGTTTTACAAGAGAGGAGTGGAGGCACAATGGCCAGCGTGGCCCAGGGAGGAGGAGCCTGGCTGCAGAATCTGGCTCTGACCACCACACACAGGAAAATGGCCACACGGGTGCTGCCTAAGCTCAGAGACCTCATGGAGCTGATTAAACCTGTCTGACTTTAGTCAGTATAGAAGCATGAAAACTTGCCAAGGAAATCTCTGTTGACTTTTTTAAAAAAAACAAAAAATGTTTAGCTGCCTAATTTAAGAATGGCCCCAGTTTTCTGAGAATGGGGAACTGCATCACAGGCTATTTCACAAGAGCCCTGTGGCGATCACAGCGTGCCCTTCACTTGGTGTGTGGCATCTCACCCTCCAGCACTATTCTTAAAACATGTGAGATTGAGGAAAGCTGTGAGGATGGCTGGAAGATCACTGTACTGAAATGAATGGATAACAATAATAGCTTCTGAGTTCTGACCACCTACTATGTACCAGGTACTCATTAAGTCCTCACTACGCCCCTAACTCATTGTGTCTTTACAGGGACTCTGTGAGGTGGGAATCAGTATTGTCCATTTTTTCAAATGAGGGGATATGTTCAGAGAGGCTAAGAAATTTGACTAGGGTCCTAGGGTCGCATTGCTGGTAGTTGTTAGAGCTGAGTTTTTAAAATCTGGTTCGGTCTGGCTCCACAGCCTGTGTTACCACTTTCCAGCCCAGTTGGCCTCCCAAAATGTTATGAATAATGGCTGTTACAACCATGACTATCAAATCCTCCAAAGTACTTACAAAGAATTTTACTGTCAAACCTCCAAACCACAGCTTATTTTTTAGTCTATACAGCTCCTGCTCATGTTAAATAGGCAATAAAACCAAAGTAAAAAAGAAATAATGAGAAAGAAATTGCTGAAATCTGGCGCTCTGCTCACAAGCCTTTCAGATGCTGAAAATTCCAGAAGGCCAGCTAGTCAGATTGCAATGTGTAATTCAAAAATCTTTACTGTAACTACAGTTTATTTTTCTCCCCCAAGGACTCTACTGCTACAATGGATGGAAGATGAGTGTGTCTACTGTGGAAGAAAATGGTGAGAAACAGTGATGCTGCCTTATCAGGGAGCCCAGGATGGACCCACAGATAATGGCACAGGATGAAATGTATGTATGGGGAAGTGGGTCAGGTGAAACGGGAAAGGTGAAACATTAATGGTTATTGAAACTGAGCAATAGATACATGGGAGTTCATTGTTCTAGTCAATCTACTTTTGCATGTGTTTGAAAATTTACACACACACACACACACACACACACACACACACACAGTCATGCTAGAATATGTCCCTGAGAGGTTAACAAGCTGGATTACATGCCTTCTGGGACACGGTAGTGTAACTGCTGGCCCCTGGCCTTGGGGGGAGAGGTCAAGGCTGAAATTGGGTTGGTTCTCCCTGCCCTGTCCTGGTCTGTTCCTGGCTAGTTAATCGCCCAAGGCCCCAGCATGCCTCCCAGCCAAAAACTCTGCAGCAAATTCTGCTTTTAGGAGTAGGAGATGGGGCTGGGACCATTGTTTCTCAGAATAAAAAAGGAGCGCTCTAAGAACTGCTACGCCCTCAAACTGGAACAAGATAAAGGAACAGACTCAATTATCATGCAACAGGAATGCAGCAGTGAGCTGGCTCTGAGGTTCCCCATGGGGATGATATCACTGCACAGAATAAGGAAGTTAGTAACAAACCAGAAACAACCAGTGTGTGGCTATGCCAGGAGGGACGTCGACTCCTGAGTACTGAGTGAAGGGCAAACCCTAAACAAATTTCGACAGATTCCAGCCAGGTATCACCTTGTTCCTTAACACTTGACAGAACAAATGGAAAGATTAGCCAAGCCCTTCTCATCTGAAGAAACAATGCCTCCTAGAAAACTGGCACCTGGTTATGAGGAGATAGCTTTACTCAGTTCACCCAAACGCAGGGGAATAGATCTACTGCATCCTTTAGAAAATAAATACAAGACAGGGTAAGCAAGGCACAGATGGGTAAAACCAACCTGCCTGGGCTTGCCTGCAGTGGGTTAGTTCAGCTGGTTCCAGAACTCTGTCCAGGAAAGATGTGTCATGGGTTCACAGCGTATTGCTATGTCCCGTGACCACAGATTGTACTCCTAGCTCCAGTCAGTGATCTTTAAAGTATGTACCAAGGATCACAAGTCCAAGGAGGTGGGCAGATGAGAGAATGAGGGTGCAGTCATGCAGACCCATCCCCACTATTTAAAACACAATCCAGAGCACCCTGCAATGGCTTCCCGTTCCATAAATATAAACTAGAAGCCACTGCTGCATGGCTGGAAGATCCCTCTACTGAAATGAAGGAATAATAATAATAGCTTCTGAGTTCTGACCACTTTCTATGTTCCATGTACTCACTCATTCGGTCTTCCCAGGGATTCTGTGAGGTGGGAATTACTATTTCAGATGAGGGGCTATGTTCAGAGAGGCTGAGAAACTTGACTAGGTTGAGAATAAAACCCAATCCTCACAGCCATTGCTCCCACCTTGCTCTGACCTGGCTGACTCTGCTCCAGCTGCATTCCTTGAACTCACTAACCTCATTCCTGCCTCAAGACCCGGCATTTGCAGCTTCTCTGCCTTGAAGGCTATCCCCCAAATCTTTACATGGCTATCCAGCTCTCAGATCAAAAGTCACCTTCTTAGAGAGGCCTTTCCTGACTACCTAGCTTAAGTAGCAGCCCCAATCCCTTTCTATGAAATCCTGTTATCTTCTTCATTCCACTTATTACTATCTAATATCATTATTTATTAGACTAGAGGCCCAGTGCACAAATTTGTGCACTGGCGGGGTCCAGCCAGCCCGCCCTGATGAGGGCCAATCGGGCCCTCCCCACCCCAACTGGGGGCAAGGGCTGGCAGGGGTGAGGGGCGAGGGGCTGCAGATGGTTTGCTGGCTGGCCCTGCCCCCCAATAGGATTGGGGGGGCCTACTGAGGGGCGGGGCCAGCTGAGGCAAGGGGCCATGGTTGTTCCGGTTGTTCCAGTCATTCCGAGGTTCAGTCACTGGGCTTTTATTATATAGGATTTCCTTTCCCTTTTCTGTCTCTCTCCAGTAGAATGTAAGCTCCATGAAAGCAAGGTTTTGACTTTCTGGTTCACCACCATAATCACAGAACCTTGGGCAAGGAATACCGGTAGGTTGGTAGCTACCTTCACGGTAGCTACGGGCACATTTTTCAAGCTCAAAATAAAGGCACTGGGCTTGCTTGATGAAGCTTTTTTTTCTACTATATAAATGTATATACATGAAAATACATAGTATCTACATTTAATAAGGAGTTCTTTTGAAAAAAACTAAAATTACATAAAATTGGGACTATCTTGGAGAAACTAAGACATATCAGATACATGAAATTGTATTCCTTCATTGTTTGATAAACATTTCTGATGACTGTGCCTCCAACACAAAAGTGTTTAGCTGTCAATGGTCACAGATAGCAGAAGAACTGCACACTAGGGAAGGATGGGGTTCCTGAGTGAAAGTTGGTGCACAGGTGGGTCTGGGTGTTTGCGCAGGTACAGAAGACCTCCAGCTCAGAACCCACAACTGACAGCTCTTAGAACCAGCGTGGCCTTCCCTTACATTTGTTACTATTCATAAGGGAATATGTCTCTATACTGTGCATGTCAATCACCTGGGGATCTTATTAAAATGCAGATTCTGATTCTGAGATGGGGCCAGAAATTCCATATTTCTAACAAGTTCTCACTCAAGTGATATCCATGCTGCTCGCCAGAGGATTGCACTTGGAAAAGCAAAGATCTAGTACTACAAAATTACTATCCAAGAAACATGCCTCTAGACTAGCTCAGAAAGGAAGTGCTAACCATAGAGTACTTGCTCCCCAAGAAACAAAAATATAGAGAAGCTAATCAAAGAAAAGCAAAAAAGGAACTTCTCTGGCAAGAGATGACAGCGTTCTTGAGTCACACTAAGCCAAATGTATTAAAATAGAATCACTGCTGAGTGCTGACCTGTGTGAAGATCTGGACAGTTGTTTAATTCTGTTAAGAGAATTGAGAAATACACCCTCTTTTGCAAGTTTGATATTTACAGCTCTTGGGGCCTGAGAAAGGAGAAAGCACTGCCCACTCTGTTAGCAACAGAACTTATGTGAACCCATTTGCCCCCTTTCACTGTCTTGCTTGTTACAAACTAGTTGTTCTTTTTTTTTTTTCTGATTTCCACTTCTGAAGTTTCCCCTCCCTACCACCAACCCCCAGCCCAGACCTCCACATCCAGCCCAGTGGGTAATGTGCCCATTGTCACCTGCCCCCCCACCCTGCTGCTCCTCCACTGGTAGGGACACCCTGAGGAGGGCAGGGCCACCCAGAGCTCTCACCCCATCCGAGCCTCCAGTCTCAATGGGGTGCTTCACAGCCTAAATAGCACTCTGCAGGGCAGGCATTACTCATCACAGGTGTTCATATGCATATCTCCTTGGAGACCTGGGGTGGGAGTGGGGTGACTGACAGGCCAGGCTTTGGGCATTCCTGTGTCCTTTGGCAACCTTCCGACAATGAGTGGGCATCATCTGTCACTGTCCACAGTGACTACCTCCCCAGTCCACAAAAAGGGCAAAAAAACAAACCTGGCCTTTTCCTTCCAGTTTTTTGTGTTCCTTAAGAAGTCGCTCCACACGCATCACACTGTCTCCAATGTCTGTAAATTCTGCTTGCTCTGCCAACAAGTTGTCCAGGGCAAGCTTAACCTACAAGACACATTAGAACAGTCCAGAAGTAAGCCAATGAGCACCCACCTGGAGGTGGAGGTTTGCTGTACTCTAAGAAAACTCAAAAGTCCTAAAAGGATTCAGGACCAATGGATACGCAGCTCATTAGCTTTCAGATTAAGCAGGGGTGGGGTGGGGTTGCTGAGACACATGTAGATGGAATAGTAAAGCTACATTCAACAGATGACCAATCAGAAAGGAAGAGAAACCATCACTGAAATACCATGTATGCCAACAGGGAAACTGGATTCTAGAACATTACTATCCCACTGAAAAAGTGAGAAGAGGATGTCTGAGAGGAAAGAGGGGGCTGGTACAGTGGGGGTAGGGGGGAGAGAAACCCCAATACCCAGAGTTCAAGGCAGAAGAGAGAACTGGTGGTCACTGAACTATAAAAGGAAGCTCTATGAAACAAGAAAAGAACACCTCACAAAAATTGTGCTCAAAGTGCTGTAGTTGCAGGCATTGACTAAGCTTCAGGTGGTGCTTGGACCAAAACCGACTAAAGGCTTTTTCTGTTTCATCCAACTGAACTAGTAACCTGTCAAGAAAGAATGAGAAAGAGACATTGTGGTTAACTCTCATTTCCACAGGAGTCTGTGTAGGTTTATGCAGCTAACATCTATGTCTTTAGTCAGTGTTTTAAATTGTGGTAACATCCTTATTATGAAAGTCTGTGTCACCTATGACTTTCTCATGGTCCCACTGCTTCCCATACCTTCCATGTTTCTACCAGAACACCTTCCCTGCCAGGCAGAAACTTTGCTTCAGCGGCTGTGCTTAGAACATGCCCCCGGTGACCTTACTTTTGTGCCTTTTCTTTGACAAAGCACATCACCCAGACAAACTGTAATTTGGAAATGAAACTCAGCCAATGCTACCATCTCCCCTGAAATCCTGGGATAACAGCATTTCACAGGAGGACGGGATGGCATTCTCATAAAAATATCTCTATAGCTGGATGCCAGATGGGTGCCATCGTTTTCCCATTGTTGCCTCTAATATTATTCTTTCTTGACCCTACCAAGACTCAAGAGTGGCTGTTCTAGTCTGTCCTTGGTTGTTTCAGATCATCTAGTGCTATTCTCTCCTAAAAAAGTATATTCCACCTTCACTCACCTTTCCATGGTAGCTACATTCTCAAGTTGATTGGGACTGAGTTTCCTGGTGGGACTTTTGGTTGCTGGTTGTTGAATACATGACAGCAATGTGGCCCCTTGATTTCCAAGTAATTTTAGCTCATCCTACAGAAAGAGAAATATAGTCTCTCTTAATAGAAATTAATGGGAAAAAATCATTGGTAGATTTGGAGTACGGAGAATGGTATACCTTTCATTCAGGGAATTAAATGCTAACAATTCAAGCTGCAGATTTATAAAATTTATTTATTTATTCTTAATACTACACATGACAAAATTAAAAATATACAAAAGGATATATATGGGGAAAAAAACTAGTTTTTTGTCCACAGCCCATCGACTTTCCCTCTCCAAAAGCTACAACTGTTAAGTTTTGTGTGTATCTCAAGCTGTTGTAAATTAAAAGCAAAATTAGTTAATGAAAACTGGTTCTAATCCAAGACAGTGACCAGAAACAAGAAAATGACAGATACTGAATGTTAAACGCTGGGAACTGCCACGCAATAATAACGCAACAATTGCTAGTTAACCAGAAAAAAAAAGGAAAAGAAAAACAAACAAACAAACAAACAAAACTTCATCTGGTCTCATCAATGAACACCTGCCTCTCCTTCCACCTACTTCCAAAAAGCGTGGCACGGAGCACTGGTGGTACAGTGGTTAGCGTGGCTGCCTTCCAAAAAGCTTGGCAGAGGTGGATGGCAATTTCAGTTTGATGTGGAAAGAGTCATACTGCCAAGGCAACTCTATTCTGCTCTTTGTACATGGAGACCTAGGGCTTTGCAATTGGGGAAGCGTCAGGCTAGCTCCATCCAGATCCAACAGCTCTTGTCCTCTGCTCCCACAGAGCGGTGTCTCAATGCCCTGAGCATTAACCATGGGGCAAGGCAAAAGAGGTGAAGCTTGGCCTAGAACTTTGCTCCCAGGAGTTCTGGTTTTGATTCCTGGGTCACACAGGATGCTGGTCTGGTATGCTGAGAGTGAAAGTCCCATAGTTACAGAACAGTCACATCTATGCACATAAACACTGCCTCTCTTCCTCCAGGCCTAGCCACCTCCAGCCTTCACACAGCCTCCAGCTTATTCCTGTGGGAGGAGTTTTATACTCTTCACTCTGGTCACAAAGAAGGCCAGCACTCTCAACTGCATGCCTTTGCTCCTTGTCTCCCACCCCACTCCAATATTCATGCACTTGAAGGCTTCCATTGTCCACTCTCAGCCTCATGACAGATTTGGTTTCTCTGATCTAGCCCCGCTGTGGCTCTCTCCACTGCAGGTAATGCCTCAAGGTGGCCACTTGGCTGGTATTTCTGCCTGACAACTGGACATATTCCTTCTTTTCCATTCTAGGTATCAGCCCTCATTTCTTCTTATTTCATCAATGTTCATGAAATATTTGTAGGTTGGATGAGTTAATAATAGTCTAAAAGAAACCAGGTTACAGGTGAGTAGACAAGATAAGCCTGGGAGTGGGGGAAGCACTCATTAGTAGTACTCATAGCTTTTCCTTCCTCTTCTTACTCACTAAAAAGAGTCCTGGCTTCTTTTCTCTCAGTTTCTTAACTGCCCCTGAGCTTCTAGCATTCCAGCAATATTCTGGCATTAGCCATAATTAGCCACAATTAGTGTCTGTAGGTGTGCATGATGCAGAATTGGGAGGAAAGGTGGAGGGGCCTAACAAAGAAGAGGCATATTGATTGTCAGGGGAGATTGGAAGAGAGATACACTGCTCCAATACCATTTGCTAATGTTATCCATTCATGTATCTCTGTGAATTCATGCATGTTGGGGCCCCAGGGGGAGGCCAGTGCCCAGGCACCAGGCAGGCTGCAGGCTGAGAGGTTCGCTGGAATGCCTGAACCAAGGATTCTTAAAAACTCCTAAGACTATTAGGTTATTTCTAGAGGCTATGTAATTCTGATTGTCTTCTTGATTATTTGTTACCTTGGTAATATTGATGGAATTGTCATCACTGAACAAAACTGAATGAATACTGAATGGAATAAATACTGTATACTAAGCAGTATTCATATTTGTAAAGATTGCTTATCACATGATTGAAGGACCACTGACACTTTCCCCTTTCTCCTTGCATGATGAGAAAAGGCCTATGGGTCTGTTAAACTTCTTATTGTAGCAACAACGAAAATGAGAGTCTTACCCTCTTTAAATGAACACATGGTACAGTGTCTTAGTTAACTAAAGCACCTAAGTGTGGAAGGCCAATGCCCTGTGTTTCTGGCCTAAATAAGACCAGAAAAGAGGTGAGAATCACCTTTTGGGGGCTCAGGAGAGAAACTGTCTATTTCTGTGAACTGCTTCCAAGAGCTTTAAAAATTCACTGTTCTGAGGAATGAATCTTATATTGGTTTTTCACTTGGAAAAGGTGCTTTCCAAATGGAAAAATTATTTAATTATTTATAGACCATTTGATAAGTAATATGCTCTAATAAGAATAAAATAATATGTTTAAATAACCATAAAAGCTACTAAGCATTTAATAAAAGTTTAAATGTATTATTTTTAAAAATATAAATCCTTTCTCTCTTTAAAGCATTTTTGGATGGAAAAAAAGGAAAAATGTAACTCTAGTTTAATTATCTTGGTATTTCTGCTTCTAATTTATAAGATAAGGAACCAAGAAATCAAAATTTATGTTAGATCAAAAATTAGCAATCACAAAAAGGCTTTAAAAAACCCTCTGTGTTGTCTTTAAAGGGATAATTAATACTACTTGGCAAAATAAAGACAGAATAATTATATTTTAATCTAAATCAATTAATATTCTTACTCAAGATAAAGACATGGACATATTAAACTCTTTGGGAATTTTATCTTAAAATAATTATAGGTCTTTTCCAAGATTTTAGGGCAGCACAGAATATAAATGTAATATAACAGTTTAGTTTATGTAAGACTTTGCATTTACTTTCTTACTAAAAGGCTAATTAAATGGATTCTCATAAATTCCTTTCTTTTGTCTTATTGGTTAGACATGGGTGTTTAACCAAATTGAGATAAGACGGAGTACAAAGTCATTTCTTACCAATGTCAGACAATACCGAAAATTATGTGGATCTACAAAGTTATTCCACCACATAATCAGAGGGAAGTCTTAGCCTTCTTTGTGCAGGGTTGTGTTTTAATACCAACAACAGCTTGTCGCCATGCCCAAGGAAGTGGCCTTATTTCATCTTGGAGGGTGGTTCTTTCCCTCCCCTTCCCTCTGTGGACCCCTTTGTCTGTGTAGACATGATGGAACACCCATCCATCTGCCTTTCCCAGGAACCCTCACTGCACATACAGCAGGACCTCCCTAGCTGATTTCACCCCTCAGATACGTGTCCTCGTCTAAAATCGAAAATGTTTTACCTTTTCCCCAAGGACCTCCCCTATTGACCACATTGTCATCTCAGTGCTTCTGCCCTGCAACCCCTCCAAACCATCCTTGGATCGAGGCAGAGAGCACACTTGCTCATGAGCCCAGGCCCGGAGCTCCGTGCCCAGTGCCTTCCTGCCATATTCCACATTCTCAACATCACACAGGTATACCAGCTGACCGCTCTGCAGGCTCCCAGGGTCTATGACCTGTGGGCCGGGACCACCAACCCTTTTCTGGCAGACTTCACAGAGGCACCCTAGACCTGGCCTCTGCACCCCATACCATCTCTTCCAAGAATCATGGGAGGTGAACTTGGGCAAAGAAAAAGGTCAACCGTTTAAGGGATATTTTTAGGGAAAATTATCTAAATGCTTCCAGGATGCTTTCCGGCTTTCACAGTTCCCAGCCAGATCTTTTGGTGACTCAGAGTCATCTTGGGGACAGATTTTGAACTCTTTTTCAATAGCAACCTCCTTAAAAAGAGAGTTAAACAGTACTCCCTGACACATGGAAGCATTAATTTGCCTCATTAATGAGACTCTGAGATTCCCCGAACTAAACTGTGTTCTTTGGGTTTGCAGTCTTTGTTTATTTGTTTTCCTGGCAGGTAGTGTTGAGTAGTCGATAAATGTTGAATAAATGAACAAATAAATCAACCACTTAGCAAAGCATGTTTGCAGATTTTGGGTCACAGACGAGAGTTCAGCTCTTCCCAAGCTCCATGCAGCAGGAGTGCAAGCAATGCTGAGCTGTCTCAACCTGCTAATCCTCAGTTCGCTGCCCTCTTGAGTTCTGGTCGTCTATGAAATAATAGATTCCACATTCGGTCTGTTTGTGTTTCTGGAGGCAGAAAAGGGCTTGACACCCATGCAGTCAGCCCCAGGAAGACTTCCCTTCACTGCATGAAAGAACCTGCCAAGCTCCCTCGTCGGCAACTCATAAAAACAGTTCTTGACGTATTTTTTGTGAATCACCTAATCGGTGCCTCTCCTTAAACCCAGTTCAGAGCGTTTTCCCTAGTCCTCTTCCTCAAATTAATCCCCAAATAAAAAGACACATCCCTGGGAAAGTGAAGCAGTATGTCAGCTTGGTAGGCAGCCCCAGATTTCACAACAGCCCCAGAAAAGCTTATGCTTCAAAAGCTGACTCCCTGCTCTCACTGCACTTTCAGCCTCTTGCATCTTGCTCTGTCCTGAGCTGCCCTCGAAGGGATGCTCGCCCACCTCATCTCGCCAGCACAAAGCTAGAATGAGTTTCCCTTTGCTGGGATGCTTCTCACAGGTCTTAATTGCACTCCTTTTACATGCACCATCCAGTCTCAAAGAGGTTTTCTCTTCGCATACCGCCCACCGCCAAAGGCTGAAGATGTTCGGTGACTTCCAAGTCAGTGGAGAAGAGGGAAGAAGAGGACTTAATTCTGCTCCCAGCTCTCTCCAGGAGGCTGACCATCTGCTGGCACAGAGGCTGGACTGTGGGAGGCCACTGACCACTCACCTGCAGCTTGTCCCGCTGCTTTGTGTGGGACATGAGCAGTTCTGCAGTAGACGGCACGCCTCTGGGCAGCTCTGTCTCGGCCAGGCGGGCCCCAAACGTCTGAAGCATCTGGGCAGTGGTCTTCAATGTCAAGGCAAAGTTTTCGATGGCCTGGGAGGTCATACAATCATAACAGTGTGGTGGGATTAACATTCACCAATATGCTTTATTCATGGAAGGACAGTAGAATTAGCTACCATTCTCTGAGTACCTACAAAGGGCCAAGTATTATACTCAGTGCTCTACATTTGTCTACCAGCTCAATAATCCAGAGTGGGAGGTATTTTATCCAGAGAGAGAATCATTGATCGGCTTCCTCCTGCACGCCCCCAACTGTGGATCGAGCCCACAACCTTTCTTTCTTCACTTGCTAGATTTTTAATACATTAGTTTAAATTCTGTTTCTTTGTTACGGGGTGAGGCTACAACATTAGTATTTCTGGAGGATGAGGCCCAGAAATCAGGATTTTAAAAAGATTCCCAGGTGATTCTAATGTGCAGCCAAGGTTGAGAACCACTGCTCTAAAACAAGGTGAATTCTCGTACCTAATTAAATTTAGTTCAGGTGTTGGGCAACCTGTTTCCAAACTGACCAGGTACAGACAGGTGTGCTGACACCACATGCTGCCATCAGGGTGGGCATGGAGCTTCTGATTTTGCTTAAAAAACCAAATTTTTTCAAGGGCATAGGAGCTAAAAGAGCAGGGGAAGGGGCATGACAACTTTTTATAGAAACACATTATCTGGTGAGTTTCAATTTTACTTTTTCCTCAGTATTTCTGACCCTTCTAGTTTAGCATAATTGCCACAAATATGAATAAGTAGGGAAAAGTAAAACCCTATATAAGTCAGGTGTTTCACAGCTTCCCGTCTGTCTATACATTAGACTCACCTGGGGAGTTCTGTGAGCCACGAATGACAGAGACCCATCCGAACTCAAATAAATTAATTTCTCTGAGCTGTAAGAGGGTTTTGGCTCTTTGAAAATTCCCCAGGTGCATTCTAAGTCGAGTCCCCAAGACTCCCATGCCAGACAGGGAGAAACTCCAGCCTTTTCCCTTCACCCTACTTTTCTCCCAGCCTGTGGCCTGGAAAACCCAACCTCCCCAGTGGTAGGTAGTCATAGGCAATGACCTCCCAACAGCTGATCTTAATCAACCCTGTCTTCAAGAAAACACGGAGAGACACTGAAAAGGGCACACAAGTTGGTACTCACAGTTCGATGACTGATCCACTGGCTGTGGCGATATTCCAGAGTTCCCCCTAAGTCCTCTGTCAGTTGGCTTTTGTCAATGTAGCCTTGAAGGTCAGAGACAGAATTTAACATAACGATCTATAAGAGGAAACAAATTAATATATTCCTCACAGACGATTAAATAGTAGCTCATCTGAATTCTATTGTTAAGTAGCACTTCAACTCTGCCTTCTCGGAGGTTTATATCCAAAATGGTTATGATGTCCAGCAGAGAAAGTCCCTTTCCACTTCCCCCCTTTGAGAGATGTACCCTCAATTTACCCTTATGGAGGAGGTTCGGTGGTAACAGGGAGTGGGTTTTCATAAATTAACAATCCTGCTGATGAACACACCCGTGAGTGAATGCCCACACATCTAGAGGAAGGTGACACAGTCCAAATTGCCCCCAGGCAGGGCCCTGGCTCTCTGTCCCAGGCCATACACCACACCTCCTAGTCACTCCTGATCAGAAGCAGGGCCCCTCCCTCCTATCTCTGAAATGCGTCCCTGATGCCTTCACCTAATGACCTTATGTTTCTTCACTCCTTGTTGATTATTTTGAAAATTGATTCTTGGTCAGAGAACATAAGAATATAGGCTTTCACCCTGGCTGGTGTGTCTCAGTGGGTTGACTGTCATCCTGTGCATGGAAAGGTCATCATCTGGATTCTCAGTCAGGGCACATGCCCAGGTTGTGGGTTTGATCCCCGGCTGGGGTTCGTATGGGAGGCATCCGATTAATGTTTCTCTCTCTGTCTCTCCCTCTACCTTCCTCTCTCTGAAATCAATAAAAACACAATCTTTAAAAAGAATACAGGCTTTCTTCTATTATTATATCGTATTAGTCAAGTGATAAGTCCACTTTGGAATGAAAACAATATTAAGTTAGGGCCTAAAGTCTATAGGTAAAAACAAAACTGATGTATTCATCCAACAAATATGCATTGAACTTCTAATAAATGCCAGGCTCCGAGGGGTAAAATAGCAAGCATGACAGCCCTGCCTTCAAGGAACTAAGGTTTAGTGGGATGTGACTGCACAGAGCACGCTGTTAACCTCATTGGCCCCAGGACTTTCTCCTTCATTTCTGAAAAAGAGTTTGGGAATTTTAAAAAATATTTTTATAATAGGAGAAAAAGAAAAGAGAAAAACAATGTGAATCCATCTGTGTCTTTCTTTCCTAAAAATTTTAAACCACTTTTTGGAGTTTCAAAAAGATTTTTAGTCTTTCTACAATTCGAAATTATAAGACACATATCAGGAAATTATCAAGTGAAAAATAATTTTTTTCTTCTCAGAACATCAGCAGCTATGGTAATACTGGGATTTTTTTAAAAAATAACATTATGCAACATCGTATTGGGCAGAAATAACTTTGCCCCACAGCCTGGAGTTTCAGAAACCTATCGTACCAGGCCCAGGTCTTCCGTGCCACCTCACTGGCAGGACTCTGCTTTCTCATCTCCCAAGGAAACCCCAATAAAGACTCTGATCTAGGTTTTCCCCTTCATCCTGCTTCTGCCTTCTGAGCAAAACCTGGGCTTCCCCCGTGGGCTTCAGTGACATGAGGTGACTCCCTCTCTGAGACCTGTGAGTATAATAAACTTCCTCCTTCAGGCTCATTCTCAGTTCCTCCTGGGCACCACCAGCTTTACTGAACCATATCCAACATGTACATTCTTAGAACAGCCGCTATAGATTAAGAATGTATCTATTCCTTTTCAGTATACATTTATGCTCTTATCTATAATTGCTTAAAGCTGTTCTTTCAGGGAGATCTGTGATCATACCATTATGAAAGAAGCCTTTCCTGTATTCTGTCACACAATCCATGTTAAGAAACCAATTTGTATGACCATAGCCTTAGCCACGTCACATAATTTTCTCAGGCTGCTATGAGGATAGCTGTTTTAGAATAGATAGGTGCCAGCAATCGGCTCTCAGAAACCCTTTGCTATTTCAGAGCAACCCTCTCCTTGGCTAAAGGTACAGCGAGGCTAAGTCACTTAACTACCATTACAACCCTGTCCACCTGGTTCTTGTAAGAATCAGGCAAAATGAACTCCTTTCCCCTCACTCAACCTGTGAAAATATAACTACAGTGGGGCCTTGACTTATGAGTTTAATTCATTCCGTGACAGAGCTCGTAACTCAAATTACTCGTATGTCAAATCTTAAAGTGAACGAGTGAGACATGTGATGCTGGGCTGATGTGGCGTTCACTGTGACGTTTGCTGCGCCAACTAGCGGTGGGGTATCTGAAGCTGGCTCATAACCCGAATTTTAGCTCGCAACTCAAAGCAAAAAATCGGCCGA